GTGCAAGCTGCCGAATTCGCCATTAGATTGTCACTACTGGCACTACTGGCAATACTGGCATATCGGATGCGGAACACGGGCGTAGAATGAAAACAAAAGTGTCAAACAATTGTCAAAAATATATGCATATAGATTAGTCGTTCTGACCGGGACCGTGATAATATAATTTAAGCGTAACATGGCCGAGAATGAATTTGTTTCAGACAGTGACGAATGTCTCGTTGCCGAGGCCATTAATTTAAATATTGAGGAGGTATCTATTCATCTTTCCAATTACAATCGCTTCAACGATGTTGTAAAACATAACGCGTGTACGCGATGCCAAGCGTTATCACGTTGAGCGAATCGCGCTATACTGTTTGCTATTTGTATTCCTAATTCGTGTCTTTTTTCTCGTTGTAATATTATAATTGAAATTAATCTGCCGGTATTGTTATAATAACGGTACTCATGCCTTATTTCTTCTAGTTAGATAACGCGGAATATGCTATACCAATTGTGGAAGAATTACCCACCTTGGAGAGTATACTAATGGAACCCGATTATGAGTCGCTATCGGAAACGGAGGACGACATCGGCGTACCATTGGGTGAGAAACTGGGCAGCAGTGAGACAACCAGCATCGGAAGTCACTTGTCGCTGAATTCGTTAAATAAATCCTCTAAGACCGCCCAGAGACCGTCCTCGGGTGTTATCTTAAGGCATGTCATACTCAAAGGAATAACATCACAAATTGTATCAGCCAATGTGAGCAATTATTCCATACATTATGCGGGAGATATATAAGGAGTTATATTCTTTCAAGTTACAAATTTTTGAACATTGTTACATGCCACATGTATAATAAAATGGTCGTCATTTGTTAAATATTGATTTATACAGGAGAGAGTCAACGCTGGTCTGGCTAGTGCAGTTGCAGCTGGAGGAAACATGCTGGTAATTGGTACTAGCCATGGTTTAATACTGGGCTTTGATTCTTCACAAACGTTGCGATGGTGCGATCAAGAAGCGAGGCACCAAGGTTCTGTTTCTGCCCTTTGCTTCAATCACGATGGTAGCAGGATATTGGCTGGTTTTGTTAGGGGACATATCTTGATGTTGGATAGTAGTAATGGGAAAGTTTTAAGGATTCTCACTGATGTACATCCACTTGACACTGCTGTCTTACACGTTAAGGTACTAAATCTGCCATTGATTTTTCTTACACAGGTGTAAAGTTAGTAGTCTTGTATATGAATATAAAACATCCTCAATTTATAATTGCATATTTTTTGAAAAGGTAATAATAGAAGTTAAAGGAAAACTATAAAATATTAAAATTGTTATAAAAATAAAAATGTTTAAAAAATAAAACTCTAATTTATTTTTCGTTAGATATAGAATGTTTACTTTAATTTGTGAATGCTTTATATACATATATATACATATACACAGGGTGTCCTATTTTAAAGGATTCATTAAGATTTCTCGAAAACTATGATAGATATGGAAAAATGTTCAAAGTTGTATGATTTCAAGGGGCACATAAAATGGTACTATTGGTTTGACCTATAAGTAGCATTGTCAAGGCCAGAGAAAGGTCAGTTTAAGTTTTTGAAATGGAATTCTGCACTTTTTATTACATATTCTTGTAGCTTATCTCGAGAGCTTTTCAAAACACTATAATAAAATATTTTTCCATTTTCGAGTTATAAGGCTTGAAAGTTACAGTACCACTGGCATTAGTATTATCCAAGGTATTTAAACAATGGCTAAAACCTTTTAAATATTGATCAGGCTCATGAGCTTGACAACATATGTCAACGTCATGATCATTGGAGGTTGTTCCTTTTTTTTTCAAAATATAAAAATAAAAATGAAATTAAAAGCAACAATCTTTAATTGCCTTGATATATGTTGTTAAGATCATGATCTAGAACAACATTCAAAAGATTTTAGCCTTTGCATTGTTCGGACGCCTTGGATAATGCTAATGCCTGCGGTCCTGTAATTTACAAGTCTTATAACTCGAAAAGTGCTTAATCGAAAAATATTTTATTATAGTGTTTTGAAAAGCTCTCGAGATAAGCTACAAGAATATCCAATAAAAAGTGCAGAATTCCGTTAAAAAAATTTAAAGTGATCTTCTCTAACCTTGACAACGCCAAGGTTAAACCAATGATACCATTTATGACTTGAAGTCATACAACTTTTGTTAAAACATTTTTCCGTATCATAGTTTACGAGAAATCTTAATAGATCCTTTAAAATAAAAATTTCCATTAGTGGTTCATCCTTCACCTATGTTGTGTTGTGTATAATATTCTGCGTACAAACCACTCCATCTTATTTACGTGATCGTCTCCATTTAAATGAGGTTTAATTTCACTCCACCTCATTATCATCTATGCGTCTTCATCAGTCTCCTTTCCATTCTCATCGGACAGCAAAATTTGAGGCAGCTTTCTCCTACTATGGTCAAGTTTTTTAACAACCAGAAACATTCGCTCCTTGACATCTAACTATGCATTCAAAACAGCTGCTTCCCTTTACATTGGCTCTCATCTTTGATTAAATGCTCTTAGATGTCTTTTATATTCTAAATCAATATGTTTCATTTTCGCATTTTCTTTTTGTACATCAATGTTTAGTTTCTCGTTTACAAAGCTTTACGTATTAAATTCCTAGGTTTAGGCATATAAACAACATTTTCGCTGATGCCTTACCTTTTGAGATGCTACAATTAATTATCTTGTACTTCATGTTTTATGTTCACTTGTATATCTTCTGATGCATATCAAAGCTATTATTATTATTATTATTAAAATAGGACACCCTGTATATACATCATTAGTATTGAATCATTAGTATTTTTAATTTATCTGATCGACAGTTTTGAACCAGCCACTTTAGTTTACAGATTCGCCCAAAATAGCCTTGTGCAGTGACAGCGGTGGCTCGGTTTTCGAACTGAATTTCACTAGAGTAATGGGCGTCCGAGGTTGCGACAGTAGATGCCTATTTAGCGGCTCCAAAGGAGAAGTGTGCACTTTGGAGCCGTTGCTATTGAATCATTTACCGTCTCATCCACTGAAAAATTATACTTTAGTAGCAATGGCAACGTTATCGAAGGTTGTGCTTCGTAATAAACCCAGAGAACGCATCTGTCCATTAAATGTACATAATGTTTATTTTATTTCGTAGGTAATTGTTGTTTGCATAAGACCGCGAATGCGTGTTGTATTGAGTCATCCGTTGACTGGTGCCGCGATAGCACCACCACAACTGTCTTGGCAACTGGTTGTTATTCAAACAGCTGATGGTTCCCGTGTGATCGATCCAGTACTGGCGCTCGCGAGGGATAACGTGGTGTATTTTTATCAAGTATTGGCATATATTGCGTTATATTTTATGTTGATTGTTTTCTTTTAAAATAATGCTAAAGTATACTGCTTGTTGACAAGGTGTACACCGAAATTGGTACGCGGATAAAATTGTCTCCTCTCCGAAGGATGACGTTACCGTACATGATAAGCAATTTGAGGTGGCTAAATCCAAGATCTCTTGTGGTACTGGACGCTCACGAGAAGTTGCATTTATTAGATGTAAGAGCACAGGATAATTTGGAGACGTTAGATATGAGTCGCGTTGGTATTTCTTATGCCTCTAGTCATTTTAAGGGATTGTCTACCGGCGGAAATGTTTCGAAGGTACAAAGAGTGGTATATCGAGGACAGAAAGAAACTGTATTTAATATTACATTTGGATATTTGTATTTTCTGCAGGCGATGGCGTTAGCCGGTGAACGAGCGTGTTATAACACTGTTGTAGTCTTTGGCACGCAGCTGTTGTTATTAGGTACAAAGAGTTTACATGTGATATGTATGAGAACGTGGACTGAGAGATTGCAACATCTGATCATGCAGGTCAGTTTAAAGCGATGGAAAGAATCTGATTATGAGAGTAAAGATGTTTTATTGCATTTTTTAGAAACGTTACCCCGAAGCGTTGGCATTGGGCCTTTCTTTTTATCAAGATAAAGGCAAGGCGGTTATCGGCTTGCGAGGTTCTAAGCAGCGTCGCAAGCAAGTAGCGCGCGATAAGGTTTGTGAAGTATTGGTGCAGTATATGGACGAGTTAAATCAGTGTTTAGTAGACGAAAATATAGACTATGATATGATAGTACTCACCTGCGTCGATTACTGCATTCAACTGGAGAATATAGATCTGCTGTTCGGAAAGTTGTGGGACATAGTCTTCGAGTCAGAGGGGTTGAAAACTAGTTACTTGCACGCCCTCGAAGCTCCTCTGCTAGACGGAAATCTTCAACCGAGACTGCCACCATTGATCGCCCAGCAATTGGTCACTTTTTACGATCAACAAGACAAAGTAGATTCGCTGGAAGCGATCGTGGTTCTCCTCAATGTAGATTGCTTAGATATTCATCAAGTAAGCCATCGCGAGAATTTCCATGGTGAAATAGACATTTACGTTTTAAAAATGACGTTTTATAAATGTTTACGATTTCAGAGCATATGTTTTTGTTCGTAGGTAACTACAATCTGTCGTCAACGGGGACTTTGGGAGGCTCTGATTTATCTGCAGACAACAGCATTAGGCGATTTCACAGCGCCTATTCATCAATTGGTACCGGTACTTCAGAATTTATTACAGGACCCAACAGCCGCTCTTTCCCGCGACTGTATAAAACTTGGCAACGCCATTCTAGTTTACACTAGCTGCTGCCTCGCCGGTCGCGGGTTTCCCAAGGACGAGCTTCCCGAGGGCATGCCGCAGAAGGCGAAAGCGGATATATTAAGAGCCCTGTTGTCCCAGCATTCCAGTTTGGCGAATGATATGGAAAGGCAGTATCCATACTTGAGAACGTTACTGCAATTTGACGCAAAGGGCTTCCTCGATGTTATAGCCATCGCCTTTCAGGAGCCAGAATTTACCTCCGAAATGGGCTTGCGACACCGACAGAGGCTCATAGACATCTTGTTAAGCATTGTTATGCCGAATACGCCACTCACTCCAAAAAATATCGATTACATCACGACGGAGCAGCAGTTTATGGTTCTCATATTCGTCGCAAACGAAGTGTCGGAAAGCACTGTTACGTTGGAGTCTAGTACGTTGAATAAAATGATAGATATATTGTGCATTGACGCGCATGTAGAATTGTCGAAAGACTTTAAGACTGAGAGGGAAAACGCCGTGTTGAGATTGCTGCATTCTAAAAAGCTGTGCAATATTTCTGATAATACTTTGTTAAATTTAGCAAATAGAGCGAATTTGTAAGTACCTTTAATTAATCTATTAAATTTATGCTTTCTCGTTTAGTCTATTACACACATACACGCACGCACGCACGCACACACGTTCCATTTTAAATAATGCGTTAAAATTTTTCGAAAACTCCTTCAAGGGAGGGAGGAGGGCGAAGGATTTTCGTTTACGCAGTTAGAACTCTTTAATATATGAAACTTCCTCATGAACAACTTTTTGATACGATAAATACTCTTTAGAGTTATTCACTTGTAACACTTTATGTGGGCTATCGCGCGCGCGCGTGTGTGCATGTGTATGTGTGTGTGCGTGCGTGCGTGCGTGCGTGTGTAAGTAATCACATACGTAGTCTGTCCCAAAAATGAGACTAATTCCGGAAAAATTGTTTTTTATTGAAAATATACTTAATATTTTTTAAAGTAGGATCCTTGAGCGTTAATACAGCGGTTCCAGCGTTGCTGCCACTCTTTGCAGCAGCGCCTTTGTAACAGGAAGTCCTGACTGGACATACTTTCCAGAGCACTCATCGCGGCTTGGACCTTTTTAATCGTCCTAAAACGGTGTCGGACAACGTTGGGACGATTAAAAAGGTCCAAGCAGCGTGACTCTAGAAGGCACGTCCGATCAAGACTTCCTGCGCTACTATGAAGAGTGGCAGCAACACTCGAACCGCTGTATTGATGCTCAAGGATTGTTATAAAAAATTGTTATAACAAATGTTTTTCACAATTTTACATAATTTTAAGTTATGTATCTTATTCCTTGGATGTTGACCTTTAAAATGAAAAAAAATTGTTTAATTGTTAACTTTAAGCAGATTAATTAATTTAAAGTTTGGTCGGGTACATTGGACTCGCGAATACCATTTAAAGAAATTTAGGAGTGAATACTGATTAGGGTTAAGCGTGTGTGCATGTGTGTGTATGTGTTTGTACATGCACATAGCATATTTATAATAATAGAATAGATATGTATATATGGACATATGGCATTGCATTATTTGATGTATTTGTGTTGCAGCATAAGAGTAGCGGAATTACTGTACAGTGCGCGAGAAGATTGGGTGGCGGTATGTAAATGCATGATCTTGGAGCCATCGAGGCATCACGACGTATGGCCCTGGCTCGAGCATCTGCCGGCCGCTTCGTTAGACCAAATGATATCAATTCACACTTCGACTCTCGTGACGATCAATGCCAATCAGTTCGCCACGATTGTTGCAACGCGATTGCAAAACAAGATCGATGCAATATTGCAGAGTTTTACTGATAATTTAAGCTTGGAATACAAGCTATTAGGAGCATTGTATCAAGTCGCGCAGTACAAGGAGGAGGATGTTTCTCTAGAATTAACAACTGAACATTTGGAGCGGTACCTAGCGTTAATGTGCGAGTTGGAGCCGGCACACGTGGTTGCTCACTTGCATGGGCCACATGGGTGCAGATTGGATGAGGCGTTAAAGATCGTCCAGAGATGGAGATGTAAAGATGCGGAGGCGGTGATGCTGGAGAAGCTTGGTAATTACCAGGACGCATTCGATCTTCTGCTGAGAGAATTTGAGGACCGGCTGGAAATGTATCGGCAGGATAAGGCCTCGGAAAGCGAAACTGTGCACGCTGCCATTCAGCTCGCGGGGATATGCCGCAGATCAGCGGGGAATCTCGACTGGATGCCTCTTATAGAAGTGATGTTCCGATCGCATTCGGAGAACAACAGGCAGAAGGCGGACGTATTGAACGGTAAATTATTGAGATTGATTTTAGAATCTCTGAGCGGTACATCGATACTGTCGAACATATTGGAGCAGATTCTGAGAAATCCATCGGCGACGAGCGGAACGATGGGCGACATACGACAATTACTATCCGGAGTCCTTACACAGTCGCGATACGAGCAAACCCTAGTCGAAACTACCGCGCGATTAGTGAGCTTGGAGCTTCACAAGGCTCTGGAAAAATCCTTGAGGTATTTCGGACATTCTGATATATGAGATTTATTACTTTTTAATAGAGTGTGAAGGTTCGCAAAGAATCACGATGAATTTTGGAATGCGGCATGAATATTGTTATCAGAACATCTCTGTAAATTAGTTAAATTATATCATGACAGACGAAAGATATGAATTAAGAATACATAAGTGATAAGAAGCAAAATTTTCTTGATAATAACAGAATAAAAGGAAAGAAAATTTCGTTTAGACTGATTAATGAGAACAATGTAAAATAAAAAAAGATTTATCGTGAAATCGCTGACTTTCGCACCGTGAACGTTATGCATCACTTATATGCAATAATTTTTATTACTCAGAGACGCCGGTAGAGCATGCGGGAACGTTTCCATAACTTGTCCCGTGTGCAGGCAGCCGTTGTCGCACTGTTCCGATCACGTAGTGATGTTTGGATGCGGTCACGGATACCATTCGATGTGTCTGGGCGAGCCTAAATCGTGTTACAAGTGCTTGAACACGAAAGGATGGGCGCCCGTCGCTACCAACATCGCGCACACTGTGCCGCAGCCACCGCCGGTTAGTTAAAACAGCGATGTCTTGATTATCTTTCATCTTGTACACCGCGTAGATGTTCTGCTCACTTTTCTGTTTTATAGAGAAAAAAACAGCTTCTTCCGCCAGAATTTTTACGTCACAAAGACCTCGCGCTACGACTGGCACCGTCCTGCTCTATCCCCGACCTCGAGGGCATCTTTTAAATCTAGTCTTCGACTATTCGAGAACGATAATCGCGTTCGTCAGTGGTATGTAGTATCTTTTAAGATACCAAAACGAACGTGTACGATGTACATATTACGAACAATCTGTATGTTGTGTAAGTACTGACAAAAAAAGATTTACGTTCCATTCCTTGAGATTTGATTTTTGTTCAATGCGCGTTGATGTTTGTGACACGTTGCCAAATACAAGTTATTACTGAAATACAAAGTATTTATTATATATAGCTTGTATATAACATATTATTCTCGTTGCAACACGTAATTTCGCACTTCTACACCGTTTCCACGACCGTCATCGATGGAACGTCCGTTCGGCGTTTTATTTTAATAATGAAAACTGGTTTCCTGGGCGCGTTATCTGCTAAAACGCGATACGGATCCATGGGCTCGTCGTCAAGCAATTCACCGGTGAGAAGTTTCGCGACAATTGGAAAAATGTCCAGTTTTGGACACTTGGACTGGTCGATCGGTGATATGTCGACATTCGAGATATACGTATCTACAGCGGATTCTAACTTAACAAGGAATGGATTCAACTTCAGAACAGCTACGTATTGCTGTAACTACAAACCAAAAAGGATCGATTATATAAATTTTTTAGAAAATTCTATAAGCGTGTATTTTGCACTTTTCCTACAATATGCGATGATGTATTAAACGCGTTAAAAGCGGTAGATACGTGCCTTATCATCGGATCTTTCGAGATTACGTAACAGATCCTCGATTTCATTTAACAAAACGTGACACCTCGCGAGATATTCATGACTGTATTTAGTCTCGCATGTGTGCAACAACTCCCTTGTTGAAGAACTCTCTCTCTTTATTTTTTCAAGGAGCAACGATAACGGTATCCCCGATAGCGTGCGACTGCCCATTTGAATTTTGGAACATTTTTCATAGACCTGTATAATTAATATATGCGCGCCAATACCTGTAAATACTTATACAAAGAAATGCATAAATGTAAAAGTACAAAAAGTTTTACCTGCTTATTAATAGAGCTCCATGCACCGACAATCCCGTTTATGAACTGCTTAAGGTCGCTCGCGGAGGTGTAATTCTCGGATAGGTACAATAACGACTGGAGTTTGTCTGTCAGATCACATGATAGCTTACCAAACAATTCGAACCTGTCGCGGAATTCGAGAGATATGTCTGGACCGTAACCTTCTGACTTGAGAATGCTCACCTATATAAAAAATATACAGTGTCGTGTGTGTACAATTAGTTTGATTACACACAACTTCTAGATGGTTAAAAATGAAACGTTTACGTTCCGATGTTTAACTCACATTTTTTTCGAGAATTCGTACGATATCGTGAGTCGATACGTCGTCGGTCGTCATAATAATCGTTTATAGAAAATAGATATACTTCGTCAAATTGGCTGATAAACAAAACGTATTTCCATAGCAAACTCGACGTCCGATAAACGCGATAGTGTCTTTTCTTCAGATAGAAGATAGACATATTCAGTTGGTTTCTTTTTATTGATTGTTATGGCTTATATAAACGACATTGTTGTCTTCCTTTCGTACATGTAGTACATAAATCTGGCATTGGTTTGCTTGTATATAGCGTATAAGTCACTTTTTATAACATCGCGTATTTCATTGATATACGACATCTTCTTTATGTTCGGCTAACATTGTTTTTTTTCATCGAATAATGATGTAATGAGGTATCGTATAGGGATAATTGAGAATTGACTCTTTTACAGGTCGCTTAAAAAATTAACTTATGGCTTTATAGTTTTAACCGTTAATAGTGATTTCTTAATGTTATATAAGCGCTCCTGGGCTCTTATACCATAAGTAATGTACATATCATTACATATTCGGTATTAATATTATTATTATTATTATTAACTGTTATAACTATACCGTTACTTATTTAGTTATACACAGTTATCTTAATAATTGCAGTAAAAACACTTAAAAACATATTTAAATTCGCGCTCACTGACAGGTATGTGCTATTGTAATTTATAATAAAAGAAAATAGCGCGACATTGCCGTCAAAAACGTGCTAATTGTTATTAGCACACTTTGCTTTGAAACGCCACAACAAACCCGATTATCATATATCTAGTCGTTTTCATAGACTGGTTGCTTTAATATTGTTTCTAACAGGGGGAAGAGTACCTCTCCTAAAAAGAAAGAGGACGGATTATTATATATATCTTACATATATGCAATTTAATTTATTATAAATTTTTCTTTTACAAATAAATTAAATTGCTTTCGTATTATTTAAATTTTATGCATTCAAAAATTTAATACAAGAGCATTTTCCTCATTTTTTTTCTCTTTTTGATATTGCAACCAAGATTTATCATATTAACATATGTATATTGCCAATAAAATTTCCATGTAATTTGATCATTGCTTGTAAGAAGAATAAAATACAGCAGACGAGAGATTTATACAATATTTTAGATAAAGAATAATCTAGCCACAATCTTTTTTTATTTACTAAATGCAGTTTAAAAGTATATTAATTTAGATTATCAATTAGATAATGTTTTTGTATATTATTTCATTTTTTCCTTAAAAATCAACTGTCCTAACAAGCTATACTAAATAATAATTATATATTCAATTGATGTTTATTTAATTTATATTCATCGGCATATATAAGCTTATTTTGCGAAGATCCCATGAGAATTTAATGGTGAATATGCGTCTTATATCTACAGTTAGCTGTTTGTATATCATGATCAGAAAAAAACGAAAAATTATAATTTTTTATAATCCACGTTGAACACAAAATGGTACAGTTTGCGATACTCGTCCCCCATGGATCAATTCGTTTGATGTACACATGTACCAAACTTGCACATGCAACAGGGGCAAAAAAATGCCACACGAGTTCATCAGGAACATGCATTATGTTTCTTGAATAAATCACCATAAATGATGAGTCATTATGAGGTTTGAACTATCAGAGGAGGGGCCCTAACAGTTCACTTTCAAATTCACTTTTATATTCAGAGAAATGATAACTATTCTACAAATGAAAATTAATCAGTGTATAATCACACAGTCTATTAAAGCGGGTTGCACTCTGAACTTGATATAATTCCTAAAAAAAAAAAAAAAATCTGTCTCCCTTTACATTTGCTGCGATCGCTCGCGCCATCGATTGGCAACGAGAGAGTGAGCATTAGCGATATCTATAGATGATATCTGTAAGAGTGATATCTATAATGTGGCGGTCTGTAATTGTTCCCATGTCGCGACCGCGCATAAGAAGTATTATAATAATGTCTTCGATTATGATGATGATGATAACCGTTAACTGATCGATTCCAGCTTTTGTTTTGGTATTCTTGGAATGAATTGTGGCTTGTATTAGATCTCTCCTCGTACGATCGACGATTTGCGTGGTCCTTGATCTTCTTCGTCCGGCCTTTATCTATCTCGTCATCGTCCGCGTTAAAGTGACGTTTACGCTCTTCTCGTCTATCGTTATCGACGTCACGGTCGAGTTGCGTTCTATTGCCATTCCAATTCGTTACTGAAAATCGGAGACACGAAATTATATAATAAACTTTTTAATCTTTCTACAATTAGATTGACTTATGATTAAATTTTCACAATTAATATCCGCAGGGTGTTTACTTAAATCTTGTAAAAAAATTTCCTGAGAATTCCCGGATTTCCCAAGTGTTTTTATTCAAAATTCCAGGTCAAATTAGGTAATTATTTTTTTAACATAACTTTGAAGTAAATCCCCGATTTTCAAAAGAAGAAATTCTCTAAAAATTCCAAGCTGTCCAGGTTTCCCAAGTTTTTTCAAGTAATAAACCTTGGTCCATTTTTACCAGTAGATTAACTTTAATCTCGGTTTAGTTTACTTTTTTTCTAATTCTTAGAACTAGAAGATAAAAAGAAATCAAAGCAAGATTAAAATTAATCTACATTGATAGAAATGGGCATAAATCAGATATACTAACCTGAGGAACTGCTGTATCCGCGATTTGACATTTTTAGTAAGTGTGAAAGGGTGTCCGAGTCATTGGTACCGTTAAAATTTCTCATAGCCGCGGCACTCGGTGTCGAACCGTTTTGACTTAACTTAATATCCTCCCTAGAACAGACATAATAATTTTTCTCTCGTCTATTGTCTTATTATTATATAAAATAATTCAACGTAAAAGAATTTACCTATTCTCACATAACCACCCATTAGTTGTAGTTGACCCACTGAGACTGGGAGCTGTATCCTTGGTTTGCCAGTTTTTAACATTGCTGATTGCAGCCTTCGTAGGCACAGTCTCTTCCTGTCCGTTTTTAATTCTGACATTGTGGCGCCACTTATCCTTATCACGTTGCTCTGACTGACCGTTCGCTTCAGTTTTCCCATTTTGATGTTTGAGCACACTTATCCGGCCGTTATTATTGGATCCGTTTTGCGTTTTCGTACAATTTACAATTGTAACTTGCATTGTCGACACACCGTTGGTAATGCTTTTGGAACTAGATTTCAGCAACTCTTTAGAACCCAACGAGGTTGTTTTTGCTACGTCCTTCGCAACAAGACATTTTGGCACACCGTTCGTGATATTAATTCTGGATGCGGTATTTGACGTTTGACTTTTATTCAAAGTCCCTGTCCCAGAGGAACAATTGTCTTCCTCCTCACTGGAACCGTCGTAGGGCACCAAACTGTTACCATTTAAAACCTTTCCATTTTTAATGTGCACGACCAGTCTCGGCTGCGACTTATCCTGCATTTTTTGCGGTGATTGTGTACTAACAGTGTCACTGGATTTTTGTATAGGAAGATTTAATTCTATACTTCTTTGTGGCGGGAGCTGCGGACCGATTAACGCTGGTTTACTTGAATTACCGAGATCGTTTGACAATCCACTTGACGTACCGTTCGCGGAACATCCGGCGGATGTCAAGATTTTGGACGCGGGGGACTTATTTGTAGAATTAGATAGCGAGGTGGGCACACTCTTCGCGGACGTTGTACCGTTCATTTTCACGATCTGTTGATTTTGACTATAATTTTCCATCTCGAAGATCATAATGTACGCGTTTGTACTTAATACATTATTAAGGCTTATTGGACGAACGCAACAGTCGTCGAAGGAATAATATTGACCGCTCGATACCTGCGCGACCGCCGTATAGTGGCCGCAATTTACAGAGGGGCCCATGTGCGTCACCATCGACATGAGTTTGTAAGTTAGCTGCTTGGGAGACTCGCCCGGTTCTCTCCACAAATACTGGCCCATATCTATAGTCTGTTTAAAACCGATGTGTCTAGATATTTTCCCTCCTAAAAAGCTAAATCGTTTCAACTGTACACACAACACTTTTGGTGGGCGCTCCAGCGTGAACTGTTTCGTGGCAGGAACTCTTCTCTTGCAGGCTTCGCATTTATAATCATTGTTATCTAACTGTTCCCTACTGAAGTAACTATTTAATGCTTCGTCCAGTGTATTCGCCTTGCGTATATCCACAAGCAAGTCCTGTTCAAGAATTCATAGGATATTTTTAAATGGAAACGTTACATGAAAATTTATCATTTTTGCAATTTTGTATACTACTTACTTGAAAGTGTTGAAACGTGGTAGATACGTGTTGACATTGCAGGCACTTCACTTCAGTACGTATATAGCCACCGAATATTTGATTAATAGGTGTCGTTTCCTTAGAGTAGCTATCCAACTTAGTTGCTTTACGCCTAGTCAAATACGCGCGTTCCATTCCTTCCAATAAATAGCGTAAAAATTCGTGAGCATCTTCTTGTTGTCCAGGCACCATAGTTCGGCAAATGACTGCATGAAAAGAATATCGTCTACTATCTGCCTATTCACACATGATATACTTATCATCATGAAGTACGTACGCTTTAGTTTATTATATACGTAAAACGGTTTGATTGTACCGCCAGACTTCTGATGGCTGAACTGTAGAGTCTTGGCCACTGCACACGTAAGGCATTCCCCACCGCCATCTAAAACTATCCTATTATCAAAACACCATACAAAATTGTGCTATTATAATTTTTACATTATAACTTTTTCAGAGATGACAAATGAAGCTATACATGATAGGACAGGCATTGGAACTCACTGTTTTGTTCGCACTTCGAATTGTGATGCGGATCGGACAGCAGCCAATTGACAAGGGCCGGTACGTGAAACAACGCCTGAAGAGTGCTGTTTAGGTAACAAGTGTTCCCAACGTTGTACATGCCAGCTCCAATTGGACACGTGCCTTTCCACCCAAGATGGACCATCTTGGAAGAGTACAGTGTGACCTCTGGCTCTGGCAGAATCGGGCCCTTATTCGCGTCATTTTTCTTCTTATAGATCACGCCATCCTTCACTTTGCTTCCTTCTAAATTCTCCACAGGGGACAAATTGAGGAAAATGTTGCAGTTAGCCTGCACCTGACTTGTCACCTGGAAATCCTTCAACTCTTCGTAATGGATTTCTGTTTGCATGATCCGCGAGGCGTTGCTCACCAGCTCGAGTGACAGATCGTCCGTAGTCTTGGACGGGCTGCCATTTAGAGCACAGTGGAGCCTGGCCGCTATAGGATCGCAGACGCTGACCGCAGGCATTTTTTTTCTACCGTTCAAAATTTCTTCTTCTAGTCTTTATTAAGCAGATAAAACCTATAATAAAACGTGGAATATGAGACATAACTTCGTACAAGATTCTATCTTCATGCACACCATATTGTCTCACGAAACAGATTTGAGAGCAATATTTTACAAAATATATATACGCGTGAAAATAAGATAAATACACAATTAATCACGCGGAAATGAATTTTGTGATAAAAGAAAAAGATAGATGTGATAAAAGAAAGAAGAATAATACCGATGAAGGTATGCTCCGTTCGAGCTTACAGAGCAGCGAGGTGTTTCAAAATACCACAGACTACATTTTGTTCGTGCAACTGTAACAGGCTCGGGCGGGAAGACACGAGCGTGCGGAAGATAACGCTTCTGACGATTGTTTACCTGCTCGCAGATGTACAGCGATCCGTGGGCGGTTTACTGCCGAGACGAGCACGGCAACCATCTGGCGTGGAAGATCCCTCGGTTCCTGGCGCGCGGAATTGCGCCGATCGCGCGGCTAATTGGCTCGTCGTGCGTGATATCGCGTGGCTTTGATCCCCCCCGGCTCGAGAGTCTCGATGCGGTTACCGGACAGGAATCGCTCGCCGCCGCGGAGGGTCGCGCGCGCGCACACACACGTGCAGGCGAGCGGATGAGCGCGCGCGCGTGTGTCTCTCCCTCTTTCTCGTCCTTTCTCGTTTCCTCGCCCGTCCTGACCGTCTCGTCACGAGCGGATTTCCCGCGTGCACGCGCTCGAAACCACGTTAACGCCCGACGCGATGAGACACGTTCACGCCGCCGCACACAAGCAGCCCGATGTCCGACGACCGACGCCGGTCATCACATATCGATCGCGCGCGACGATTTCGCGGCACACTCGTGCGTCAGACACGCGGGAACGATAAACGGGCACGCGCGCACGGCCGTGACTGCCATTTGCATTCGCTGCTATCTTCGCAAGACGACTTCCTGCGAGCGCTTCACAAGCACGCGGGAAAATCGGACGTCGCGCAAGATGGTTCCGGCCGGCTAACGGACACGCGGGGCAGAGGGGGAGGAGGAGCGATAGGATGCCGTGTGCTATGTGTGTATGCGTACAGTGGTGTGCGCGTGCGTGCGTGTGTGGTGTGTGTTTGTGCGTGTAGTACTGCCACGCCGTCTTTCGGGTCTCTACACTGTCAAACTGATGGCCGATACCGATTGTTTAATGCGTCTGACGATCGACTGTTCCTTCCGCGAGACGTTCGACGATCATCCGACTTCAATCGCAGGTTTTTCAACAAAGCACTTTCCAGTGAGCGCCGGCACTTAACCTATCGATAGCGAGCGCGTTCAGAAAACGATTGCGCGGTCGCAGAGGAATGTAATTGGTGTCCGTGTCCGCGCGCACTGATGGCTGCGTTCCGTTTGGCGCTTACAGCTGGTTACAGCGCTCACAAAATCATTTCATCCTTGTTGTTTATCAAATATTAAACAAAAACAAATGATGCTTATAAGCGCTGTAAGCGCCAAGAGGAACGCAGCCGATAAGTTATTAAAAATAGAGTCCCTAGCTAAGAGTCCGGTCGTTCGGTCACCTCGTCATAAATCCTATTGGTGCTGATACAATATGGCGTAACCAATAAGATGTCTTATTCCACACACATCTATATAATAATACACACACAACAGTAACCATTCAACAGCACCACAGTACCACACCACACCAATGTTTACTACGATGCCATGTTGTGTGGGTGCGTTCGGATTCCTTCCTCAGTATGTGGCTGCTGTGTGACCGGTGAGAGTGGGGTCTAGTTTAGTGATGGGCGATGTTAAAAAAAATCGAATGTCAAATAATCGAATGTCCAAATAATCGGTTAATCGGTCACACAATTGATTGTATCTATCAACAGAGAAAAATCGATTATTTAACGATTTTCTCTAGAACATCGAGAAAAATAAGTAGTTAATTAGGGTTGCTGCGTACACTTTTGTTACAGTAAAACATGGTGTCCTACGGGAACACATGAAATATATAACAAAGTATAACCATAAGACCGCTGGACCAATGAGCAACCAGTATAAAGTCGCCATATTAATTTACATAAAATTTTCATTGGTCTAGTCGTTTTATGCTATGCTTATGCTTTGTTATGCATTTTATGTACTCCCGGCCTATGGAAAATGCTTAACGGAAAATGTGTACGGCGGTCCTTCATGCTCAATGATTTTTGTTATTTTGGTAATTTTTACCTCGTTTCAAAATACAATCAACTCCCAGATCTACTTTGTCTGTTAAACGCAACCTAGAGAGACTATAATTATAAGAGCCAACAACTCGTCACGTGATCCGAATTGTGCGCTGATTGGGTCAGGAGTCTCAGGACAAGTAGCGCAATTCAGATTACGTAACAAATTGTCAACTCTTTTATTATAAGTCCTTTAATGCATGATGTAAATATCCTTTATAACATGCTCTAATGCAGCCAATAAACCTATATAAAAAAATCGGTTCTAAAAACATCGAATTAGCAATTAATCAAATCTAAAAACATCGGATTAATAATTAATCGAAATAAAAAACATCGACAAAAATAATCGATTATTTCTAAAAAAAACATCAAATATCTATTAATCGAAGCAACATCGCCCATCACTAGTCTAGTTATTGAAAGACACTCAGGTGACAGGTCTTGTTAAGGGATTACACCACCTTGAGCGCCTAAAAATAGGTAACTTTGGGAATTTTTTTTAGGAAAACAATAAAAGTAATACAAAATTCGTTTTAAGGCTTTAATAATACATGTCTTTAGAAGTAAAACATATTTTTTTCATTAATTTTTTTAATAAAATGACGACGCTGAAGCCATTTTATTAAACGTCGTTTTTGTAGCCACTGTCAAATCGGCGTTGCGGGGATCTGCCATTCGATTGAACCTGGAGCAAAAAACCAAAATTTTTTAAAAACTATATAATATGCACTACAGAAGTACATACGGATATTTTAAAATATAGATTTTTATAAAAATTGCGAACATTTGAAAAAAAGTCATTTTCGGCCAAAAAATTTTGTCAAGAAAT